CTCATTCTTTTTCTCTACAGCCCTAATATCAGTGAGATATAATACATTCTCCAGAGAGACTCTGGGTCAGAAGCCATGTTTTCCACATGGAATCTATTGATACTCAACCCCAACAACATTACACTTCTCACCTGAATTGTTACTAAGTCTATTATCTGTCCCTAGGATACAAGCTTTGACATCACCCTTTCCCCTCATTTAGACAACTTTTCGAACATACATGTCTTACTTAACAACAAATACATTGCATTTTAAAATTACTATCATAGCTCCCCTTCCAAAGTTGTCTAAATGAGGCTCACTAGGAGGTATGGATAGATATCTCTGTAACTTGGCCCACCATTCTCCAAAGCAGAATTTGATTTAATCCTAGAGAGAACAGGTGAAGGAGCTATAAGACTGGTTACTTAGTATTCTGAGAGAGAATACCAGATGAGAATTATATTTATCTGCCTTCATAAATATCTCTAGTAGGGGCATGATTTTTAGGTTGAAGACAATTTCCTGGTCACTATCCATAAAAGGGGAAAGGGTGATGTCAAAGCTTGTATCCTTAGGCTCGACTCCTTCCAACTAAGTGCTAGTTGTATAAAAAATCATAGATAGTAAATAGTGAGTAACCCATTTATCTAAATACATAACAAATAGAAATTAGAAAAGTCATACAAGTTAGAAAATACACAGAGGGAGCTCTCCCATTGAGACCAATATATGTCAATCCAATCAAGAGACACCCCAGTCTCACCAGAGGGGAAAATCTTTGATGCCTTCAGGGATGCAGGCTGTAAATCAGGGTTATATTGAGTTATCAGCTCCTCTACATGTCTGCTGTTTTCTGAAATCTCTTTCCTCTTTTCATAGGTTTCTCCTTGAAGAGAGTTTGGAACCACATAAATCTATATTGAAACAGAAATGCAGAATTTCCTTTCCAAAGCTCTCACACCAACTCTGGTTTTTAGGACTGTGATGTTGAGTCATCATTCTCTCCACCAATTAAGAATCACTTCTGAGCAGCAGTACATGAAATATTCCAGGCTTCAAACCTGGGTTACACAAGAATCTGAAGAGCTGTAATGTGGAAATATACTTAGATTTGTTCCGTTTGGCTATGGATGAAAGTACTAAGCTGATAGTTGAAAGTCAAAGAGGCAAATTTTTCAGTTAAAGCAAGACAATGTTTCCTACCAATTTGTACCATCCAGAAGTGGTATAGGTTTCTTCCAGATAGAGTGAGTTCCTCTGTCACCAAAAGTCAAGTAAAACCTGGATGACTACTTCTTGGGTTTGTTGTTGAGGGGATCCCTATTCATGTATAGATTGAACTAGATGACATTGGGGAAGTTATTTCCAATTCTGAGTTGGCTGTGGTTCATTTTAGACCATTCTGTGACAACTACCAAGTCAGGTCTAGACATGGACAAAGAACCCTACAACCTTAGAGATTTCTCTGGATTTTAGGCCCTCATTTAGTACAACATTCTTTTCACAAGACCAGAATTGCAGTGTAAGTTTATTAATTTTCAGTCCAGTTCTCTTTCTAGGATATCACAGAGCTGATCCATGCTCAGACTCTCATATCTTCCTGATCCAAGTCCCCTGAATAGAAGGACCACTCCTTGCTCCTCATGGTGAGACAACTTCTGGAAGACATCAAGTTCATAGAATCAGGGAATGTAACAGCCTGGCAATAACTTCAGAAATAATCTAGTCCAATGCCCTTCTATGTTACAGATCAGAAAGTTATGGTTCCAAAAAGGGGGAATCATTTGCCAAAAGTCATACAGCTAATTAGTGGCAGGTCTCCGAACTCCTAGTCTTCGTCCAGAAGTAGCTAGGTGGTAGAGTGGCTGTTGAACTTGGCGTCAGAATATTTGAGTTCAAATCCATCCTCAGATACCAGGGTGACCCTGGACAAGTCCCTTAACCAGTGTCTGCCTCAGTTTCCTCCACTGTAAAGTGAAAACAATAATTGAATCCATATTCCAGAGTTGTGAAGATCAAATGAGATTGGTAAAAGGCTTATCACAGTGCTTGGCATATAGTAAGTGCTTAATAAATGTTTCCTTTGTCTAGTGCTCTTTTCACTATCCCATACTTCTTTTCCTGCCCTGTCACTGTTGATGCCTAATCCAGCTTGGCAGTCTAACCCTATACCTCTCAAGTTGAGATCTGAAGATCCACAGAAGAGATTTTGCTCTTTTTGGATTGGGACTAGTGTTGTCCCTGAGGGGCCTTATCCTTCCTGAAGAGGATGCTCAGGTTTTCAGGAACTCCTCTGCCCTGAGGACTATCTTCTTTTAGAAAATGGTTTTTCCTCACTTTTTTTCCCATACCTGACAGGTGCCAAGAGAGGCTGGCACCTGATGTGATGGATGTGAGATTGCATATACTATTAGCATATACTGCAAGTTTAACTTAATGGGTGTAACTTGTGTAATAGGTCCTGACCTCTGACACGATAGACTAAATTCAATCTTGGAGAGTTTTCTCTCTGATAATAGCTTTGAATTATTTTGTTTCTATCTTCAACTTCTCTTGGGCACTGGAAATCTGTCTCCTTTCTCTCAAAAGTCCCCAGAAAGCAACAGAGTAAAAGGAGATTCAACTCAGAAAAGATTTATTTAGATAGTAAGGAACACTTCTCTTTCTGTCTCCTCAAGGTATGACTTAGTGTTCTTAAAATTAACAATATCAATTAATGAAATCTCTGCTTTGTGCATCAGTATTGAGTGTCTCACAAAATCATGGAGTCTCAGTCTTGGAAGGAATCTCAGAGGCTGACTCATCCAACCCTGAATTAAAATCTCCACCTCAACAGACTTGAAAATTGTTCATGCACCCTTTTCTTGTAGACCTCTGTTGAGGAAGACTCATGTCCTGAGGTAGCTCATTCCATATTAGGATAGTACTAGTTTTTATAAAATTACTTTATTTTGTTTTTATATTCCTCCACTTCCCAATATGTTCTTCCCTTCCTCTCCCATTCCAAAGATACATTCCTTAAGACAAAGTCCAAGTTCCACAAAAATTACCAAACAATAAACCAGTCTGATAGTATATGAAATTCATGGGAATTTTAAAGTTCTGCTTTATTTCTCATCTCCATCCCTCTGGGGTTTATGTGCTGTGGTCTCTATTCAGCATTTTATGGATCTCTGTGGGGATCAAGAATTTGGTAACAGCTTCCTGATCCATGATTTTCAGGGGAGCCCTGGCCCACCCTGTGGACAGCTCTCTCACACTGAGCCTGTATTTCTCAGTTTAGCTCTTTGCACTGCTGCTTGGTGCTCCACCTATTTTGCCTAGCATCCCAAGATGTTTCCATTCCACATGGCTGTTGGCCCATGTGCTTCCTGCACATGATTTCCAATGAATTCCATCCTGAGGTCTGTGGAGGCTGGGGAAGGAGGTCTTGGTTCCAATCCTCTCGGTATATTTCTACAATGTTGCTAATGCTCATATTAGTGGAATGGGACCCATGATTAGAAAATGGTACAGCTTATTCTTTTTTAAAAGAACAGACTAGATAATGTGGTGATAGGAAGGACAGAGTAGCAGTGTATTTAGCAAAGATTTAATCATGTGAAGAAATTTAGAAACTAGAATGTGAACATTTGGTGAAGATTGGTGTAGGTAGAAACAGAATCAGTATAGTAATTGAAGTATCCTACAGATGACCTGGATGGAAAGAGGGGATGGATAATTTTAGGAACATCTCAGATTTGGTATGGAAGCAAGAACGTGAATTATTAGATGTCTCCTAGATCTCTTTTTTCTTCACAAAGCATAACAGTTAATAATTTTTTGGCTTACCTTAATGATCCTTTCATCCTTCAAAAGGAGAAGGGGACAAATAATGAGGAACTTCCATTTTGCACCTGGTTCTCATTAACAAGGAGGAATTGATTACTGAAATAGATATTATGGGAATTTTGAGGAGAAGTGACTATTTCACTTCATAGAATTTGTGATACAGTAGAAGAAATCTTGGCATAGTCTGACATATAGTACAGCTATGTCAATATATGTGTATTTGTATATATTTGTACTCTATCCTATGTATATATATGTTAACACTCACATATACATGTATATATTGTATTGACATATATAGTATCTTTATTACATTTAGATGTATATGTATACATATACATCTGTGTTATATAGAAGTATATGTATATATCTATATATGTATACCCTGCCTTAATCAGGTCAAATCCGTATTGCTGTGTTCAGTCTGGGCATCTCATTTTTAGGAAGCAGATTAATTGGCTAAAGAACATCTGGGGTTGGGGTGGACATAGAGGGAGATTAGGATGATGAAGGGTTTCAAGATCATGTCATATGAAGACTGATTGAAAGAATGGAGATTGTTTAGCCTGGAAAATAGAAATCTTTGGAGGAATATGGCAGCTGTCCTAAATTATTTTAAGAACTTTTCATGCATAAGAGGCATTAGATATACTCTGACTCCAGAGGACAGAACTGATAGCAATGAATGGGTAGAAATTGCACAGAAGCAGATTTAATCTCCTTATAAGAAAAAAAATAACTTGCTAATAATAAGAATTCAAAAGTGAAATGATCTGCCTCTAAAAATCATGGGCTCTATCTCTCTGCAAATCTTCAAGCAGAGACTGGATGACCACAGGGTAGGTATGCTATAACTGGCATTTTAAATTCAGGTGTAGGTTGGCTCCCTCATTCGCAGTCCCTTCCAACTCAGAGATTCAGATTCTTTGACTTAGTGATTAGTAAGGTCTTTTCAGCTTTATGATGATGCATGTAAAAGGTCTCTGGAAATCATAAAATGTTATATTGCATGTCATATTGCATATCATAATATATAAATGTTAGGGAATGAGAGGAATGGGGAAGTGGGTGAGGAGATGTCCTTAAGACTCCTCTCCCTCTCCCCCTTCTATATTAAGACCTCAAGGAAATCAGAATTCAAACCCAGAGAAGGTGTGTTTTTTTCATTGCCTCCCAGAAAATCTTACCTTGTTTTTTCTTGTGCCTCAGGTAAAACCCCATGCCAGTCAGAATGATGACAATCACCATTTCCAAGACAGACAGAAGAGTATACCAGAAAGGATCAAAAATGACTAAAGTACCTGAAAGGAGAAGTCGCAAAGAGTGGTGAGGAGACTTCCTGGCCAAGTATGATTTTGTTTTGATCAGATTTCTCACTGGACAGACTTAGAAGGTGAGCGTACTCAGCCGAATCCTGGGTTCCTCCCAGAGCCAAACCTCACCCCAGTGTCCAAGAAAAACCGTTTCCAAAGAAATTGGGAGTATGGCCTTTAAGAGAGATTGTGGTTTTATTCTCCTGGAAGTCTGGATTATAGACTCAGAATCTTTATGCAAAGATTTAATTGTCTAACTCCTTTGCTTAAAAATCTTCTTTGGCTCCCCATTGCCGGATGAGTAAAACTCATTCACTTTCGTGATTTTGTTCACACTGTTAAACTTTGTTTTCCTTTTATCTCCTCCTGACTCTATACTGTCTTTTCCACTCCTCTTTGCTCTCCAGTCCTAGAATTTTGTCTCCCTTCTTCTTGAGAGCCAGCATGGTACATGTGGGTCCAAATTCTGCCTCCATCCTTACCTAGGCAATACCAGGCCACTTCCCATGGAGTCATTGGGACCTTCCCTCCTTGCTACCTTGACCAAAACAAATGAACACCTAAGCCTGTGTTGTTACTTATTTGGAAAGGTTTGACAATCTGCTTTCTTATGACAATAGAACTCTCTCCTCCTTCAAAATACCTGTGTTTCATAGTCAAAGGTCCAACAGGCTAAAATTCCCTTCCTCTGCTGCTATTACCTGCTCCTTCATCCCCATCCACCTTGACTTTGCCCTTCCCAAGTCTCAGCTCCTTCTGTTCTTTCCTTCCACTCTACCCTCTGAAAGTTTCAGTCTATTGTTAACAAACTATCTTTCATAGTCTCTTCCTCACACATTCCAATATTCTTGGTGTCCCTCTAGAAGACTATATTATTGGCCATCCTGTCACGTAAGAGTGTACCTTCTCTTCTTCTATTAATTTAAACCATGATTATACTACCTCCCCTAGCACTGAGTTAGTAACTATGTATACAAAGGAAAAAAAAAAGAATAGCCCCTGCCCTCAAGGAGCTAACATCATGCTGAATAAATATGTATACAGAAGAGTAAGGACAAAATGTGTCTACAAAACAAATACATAATATAATCAATGTTGTAGTACCATATATTCTTAGCTCAGATGAATTGGTTTCACTCCTGGGGCTCCTCTAAAAATCACTTGCTGTCTTTCTCTAATTATGCTTCAACTTAGAATATACTTGGGAAATCTCGGAACATACTTGTATCTAGGTCATTTTTGTTATTCAGTTGTGTCTAATTCTTCATGACCCCATTTGGGTTTTCTTGGCAAAGATAGTGGAGCAGTTTGCCATTTCCCTCTCCAGCTCGTTTTACAGATGAGGAACTGAGAAAAACAGGGTTAAGTGACTTTCCTGGGGTCACAGAACTAGTAAGTGTCTGAGACCAGATCTGAACTCAGGAAGATGACTCTTCTTGACTCTGAGACCAGCTCTCTATACAATGTGCCACCTAACTGCCCAGGTGATATATTTCTTGGCCAGATTCTGGCTGTAGCTACTGGTTACCATTTAATTCCCTGCCCTTTCTCAAGTTGTTTAGCACTGTCTCCACCCTAATCAGTGTCCCTATACTTGGGGGCTTCAAAATCCATTTTTATTTCCACTCAAGCACCTGGTCTTTCAATTTCTTAATCTTCTTCACTTTCTTGATCTAGATCTTTACTCAAGGATGTTCTGGTAGACAATTAACAACTGGCTCCCTGAAAAAATGCACCTACAATGTGCTTTTAAATTTAATGTATATAATTAACCTGTTCCTATATCTAGACCAGTGGTGTTAAACTCATTCAGAAAATGCATAAGGATCCAGGCAGCCAGCATATTAACTTAGAAAACCAAAGATTACCATTATGTCATTATCTAATCTTGTTCCTGCCTTCACTCTGCATGTCTGATACTTCTAGACAATCAACAAAACAATAGAGTATGCCCTCATTTTTTGCTAATGCTGATTTCTGAGGCTCATATTGAAAATTTAACAATTGACTCCCAGTGGAGCACACTGCCTCTCCCTCAGTCGTACAGGAATGGTTATACCACTTATCTCCCTACTGCCCATAAATATTTGACTTCCATGATGCAAGGACTTTGTAGTTCCTCTCTTAGACCATAGAGTCTTATCTTTCCATCTCTTCTTCTGCCTCATTCTTCTTCAACCTATTCTTCATCCTTCTTGTGGCCTCCAATTGCTCTACCCCTTTCCAGTACATTACCTCTTCTCCATTCATATTTTTGACCCAATTGATCAATTAATCAATCAATCAACAAGCATTCATTAAGTACCTACTCTGTGCCAGGCACTGCCCCTTGGTGGTAGGGTAATATAGACAAAAATGAAATAGCCTCTATTTTCAAGGAGCTCATACCCTATTTGAAGAAATAGTATACACACATTTCAGAATATCTAGAAGACAAATAGAGAATAATTTATGGACTACTATTAACTGGAGGAATTAGGAAAGACTTCATGTATGAGATCATATTTCTTTTAGGCATAGAAAGAAAAAAGGGATTCTAAGAGGTACAAGGAGGGAGGGCATTCCAGGCAAAGGGACCGATTATGCAAAGGTATAGATCAGAGACAGAGTGTCTTGCTTGAAGAAAAGCAAGAGGGACAGTTTGGCCCAAATACAGTGTTCATGAAAGAGGTTAATATATAATACAGTTAGAAAGATAGGCTGGAATCAGTTAGTGAAGGGTTCTAAATGCTAAGCAGAAGAGTTTGTATATGGATCCTAGAGGCAATGAGGAATCACTGGATCTTATTAAGCAAGGAAGTGACAGGCCCGTGTTTTAAGAATATCACTTTGTCAGCCATGAAGAGCACAGATTAGAGAGGGGAGAGATTGAAAGTTATGGGGAGAATGTAGGAAAGAAGGAAAAACAGCATTTGTTGAGTGCTTGCTCCGTGTAAAGTACTATGCTAACCTTTGTGAATACAAATAGAAAAGCAAGGCAATTCTTCCTGTCAAAATATATGGGAAATTTCAGCTATAAGGCAGGTAGAAAGGCCCCATGGTCCTTAGAGAACATTGGCAAAATAAATGGTAATGCATTTTCTTAAATATGTGGGGAGAAAGGAATAAGAAGACTGGAAAAGTAGGAGGAGGCTAGGATGTGAAGGCCTTTGAATGCCAGACAGAGCATTTTATATTTAATCCTGGAGGCAATGGGAAGCCACTGGAATTTCTTGATTAGGAGTGGGGGAGGGGCATGACATGATCAGATCTACATTTTAAGAAAATCACTTTAGTGGCATAATGGAAGATGGATTGGAGTGGGGAAAGACTTGAAGCAGACAGACCCACCAGCAGGCTACTACAAAAATCCAGGAAGAGGTGATGAGTGGTAGCAGTGCCAGAGGAAAGAAAAGGATGTAGTCAAGATATTTAAGAAATCCATAGGCCTTGGAAACAATTGGAGATGAAGGGGTAAAAGAGAGTGAGGAGTCCCTGATGACTCCTAGGTTGCAGGCCTGAGGTTCTGGGTCATAGCAGTGGGGAATCTGCACCCTAAAGGCCACATGTGGCCTTCTAGCTCTTTGGGTGATGCCTTTTGACTGAGTCCAAGTTTTACAGAACAAATCCTTTTACTAAGGGGATTTGTTCTATGGAGTTTGGATTTAGTCAAAGGGCCCTATTTGAAGACCTAGAGGGCCACATGTGGTCTCAAAGCCACAGGTTCCCTACCCCTGTGACTTAGAGATGGGTTTTTGGGACACTTCTTTCTGGATCTTTTCCTACATTTTGTTGGTTCTTCTCAGTAGCCTTTACATGGTCACCATCCATGCTTAACCCCATTGCTCCTTTTTGCCACCACCACCTTTCCCCCTCTCCCAGCAACTAGGTAGCACAGTGGATAAAGCATGGAATTTGGAGTCAGAAAGACCTGAGTTTGAATCCTGCCTCAGGAAATATGCTAGCTATGTAACTTTGGGCAAGTCATTACCCCCCTCTGTTTCAATTTTCTCATTTCTAAAATGGATATTGTAATAATAGCACCTTCTTCACAGAGTTCTGAATATCAAATAAGTGAACATATAAAATGCTTTGTAAACTTTAAATCACTGTATAACAGGGGTGGAGCCAAGATGGCAGAGTAAAAGCAAGGACTTGCCTGAGCTTTCCCCCAAACCTCTCCAAATACCTTTAAAAAATGACTCTAAATAAACTCCAGAGCAGTACAACCCACAAAAAGACAGAGTCAAACAAATTTCCAGCCCAAGACAACCTGGAAGGTTGACAGGAAAGGTCTGTTGCACCAAGCTGAGAGGGGAGCATAGTCCAGCACAGGCTGCACCAGCACAGGCTGGGCCCCAGCAAACCCAGAACAGGCCTCAGGGGACTAAATCACTGGCAGCAGTGGTGGTTTCCAGACTTCTCAGACCACAAATGCTGAAGACAAGTTAGAAGATCAGTAGGAAAGGTCTGTCAGACCTGGGTGAGAGAGGAGTACAGTCCAGCCCTGGCCCCAGCAAACAAAGAGCAGGCCTTCGCAGTGACTGAATCAGCAGAGGCAGCCACAGCTGCTTCTGGAGCTCTCAGCCCAAATGGTGAGGGGATTGAACAACTGGTCAGAAGGAGATTATAGGCATCTCTTTGCTAGCATTGAAGCAGGACTCTGTTGCTTTGCCGATAATTGGATCTGGGTCACAGTCCTGGGGCAAGGTGGAGCACTAACATAGCAGAACTTGTGGCAGCAGTGGAGAGGAGACCCTCCTCACAGCTCCAGGGCAGAAAAGACTGTTTGTGGTCACTCACAGACCAGAGCACAGGCCAAGAGATGAGTAAACACCCCTCCATAGATCATATCACCCTGGAATAATGGAAAACTTACAGGTCCCTTGAAGTATCTCTGAAAACAGCTGCACACAACCTCTGAAGCTTGGAACAGTTCACCCCACACACTGGAGGCAGAGTCCTACCTTAAAAAAGAGTTAAAAAGTCAAGTAATTGGCTGAGAAAATGAGCAAACAACAGAAAAATCTTCTGACTATAGAAACTTACTTTGATGACAAGGAAGATCAAAACATAGACTCAGAAGAAGACAACAAAGTCAAAGCTCCTACACCCAAAGCCTCCAAGAAAAACATGAATTGGTGTCAGGCCACAGAAGAGCTCAAAAAGGATTTTGAAAATCAAGTAGGAGAAATAGAGGAAAATGTGGGAAAAGAAATGAGAGTGATGCAAGAAAATCATGAAAAATGAGTCAACAGCTTGGTAAAAGAGACACAAAAAATATTGTAGAAAATAGCACCTTAAAAAATAGACTAGGCCAAATGGCAAAAGAGGTCCAAGAAACCAATGAGGAGAAGAATGCCTTAAAAAGCAGAATTGACCAAATGGAAAAGAAAGTCAAAAAGCTTACTGAAGAAAAGAATTCCTTAAAAATTAGAATAGAGGAAATGGAAGCCAGTGACTCTATGATAAATCAAGAAATTAAAAAAAAACCAAAAGAATGAAAAAATGGAAAACAATATGAAATACCTCATTAGAAAAACAACTGACCTGCAAAATGGATCCAGGAGAGATAATTTAAAAATTATTGAACTACCTGAAAGTCATGATCTAAAAAAGAGCCTAGAAGTCATCTTTCAAGAAATTATCAAGGAAAACTGCCCTGATATTCTAGAACCAGAGGGGAAAATAGAAATTGAAAGAATCCACCAATCACTTCCTCACCACCTGCCATAATGAAAACTCCCAGGAATATTTTAGCAAAATTCCAGAGTTCCCAGGTCAAACAGAAAATATTGCAAGCAGCCAGAGAGAAATAATTCAAGAATTGTGGAACCACAATCAGGATAACACAAGATTTAGAAGCTTCTATATTAAAGGATCTGAGGGCTTGGAATATAATATTCTGGAGGTCAAAGGAGCTAGGATTAAAAGCAAGAATCACCTACCCAGCAAAATTGAGTATAATCCATGAGGAGAAAAAATGGATATTCAATGAGATAGATTCTTGAGAAAAGACCAGAGCTAAATAGAAAATTTGACTTTCAAATATAAGATTCAAGAGAAGCATGAAAAGGAAAACAGAAAAGAAAAATCATAAGGGACTTATGATTTAACTTAAAGTTAAATTATCTACATTCCTACCTAGAAAGATGGTATTTGTAACTCATAAGACCTTTCTTATTATTAGGGTAGTTAGAAGGAATGTGTATAGACAGAGGGCACAGGTGTGAATTGAATATGAAGGGATGATATCTAAAAATGAAATTAAGGGATGAGACAGGAATGTACTTGGAGAAAGAGAAAGGGAGAGGTAGAATGGGGTAAGTTATCTCACATAAAAGAGGCAAGAAAAAGCTTTTACAGTGGAGGGGAAGAAGGGGGAGGTGGAAGGGAATGAGTGAGTCTTACTCTCATCAGAACTGGCTTAAAGAAGGAGTAACATAGACACTCAATTAGGTATGGAAATGTATCTTACCCTACAGGAGAGTAGAGGGGAAGGGGAGAAGATAAGAGGGGTGATAGAAAGGAGGGCAGATTGGGGGAGGGAGTAATCAGAAGCAAACACTTTTGAGGAGGGACAGGGTGAAATGAGAGAATAGAATAAATGGGGGACCGAATACGATGGAAAGAAATATAGTTAGTCTTTTACAACATGACTATTATGGAAGTGTTTTTCATGACTATACATCTATAACCTGTGTTGAATTGCTTGCCTTTTCAATGGGGGGGGGCTGGAAAGGGAGGAAGGGAGAGAATTTGGAACTCAAAGTTTTAAAAATGAATGTTTAAATTGTTTTTAAACGTAACAAGAAAAAAATACCAAGTAAAAATTAAAAAGAAGAAAACTCCCCCAAATAATCACTATATAACTGCTGCCTACTTATTAGACTTGAGTATCTGGTCCAGAACCATCTTCTCTTCTCTCTCTATACTCTCTGCTTGGTGATCTCAAGAACTTCTATTGGTTCAGTTATCATCTTTATACAAATGACTCTCCAAACCATTTATCCAGATGCCATCTCTCTCCTATGTCCCCAGCTGCCTGTTTCACATCTTCACTTGGGTAACTTAAAATTCAAAGTCAACAAGCTAAAAAATTCACTCTTTATTTTCCTTCCTCTAAACCAACTCCTCTCACAAAGTTCTCTATGTCTGTTGAGAGTATTAGGAATGTTCCAGTCACTCATATTGACAACCTTGGAGTTGTTCTGAATTTTTCCCTCTCCCTCTTCACCCATATAAGATTAGTATCTTAGTCTTGGATATTATATCTCCTCAACATCTTTCTAATCCTTGTCTTCTCTCCACACAAATAGGCACCATACCAGTACTAGCCCTCACAACCTTTCACCTGGACCACTGCTATAACCTCCTGATTGATCTCCCTGCTTCCATTCTGTCCTCTGATCAGTTCACAAAGAGCTACCAAATTGACTATGTAATTATCCCATTGAAGAACCTTGCCTAATATTTCTGGAATAACATACAATATTCTTAGAATGTCATTTAAACCTGTCACCTTTTGGTTTCATCCTGCTTGTCCAGGTTTATTTCACATTACTTGCCTCCACATACTACGCTCTAGTCAAACTGGCTTACTTGTACTCTGATAGTGAAGCCCTAACTTCTGCCTCTGTGCCTTTGCAAAGGCTGTCCTTGACCTTAGAATGCATTCAGGCCTCCTCTTTGCCTCTTGGAATCCTTAGCTCCTCTCAAGGATCAACTTAGGTGCCATCTCCTACAACAGTCCTTTCTAGATCTCCCCAGCAGTCTGCACTTCTACCCAAAACTATGATGTATTTACTTCTATTTACTCATCTTTTAATGTCCTTTGGGACATTAATGGTAGGATGTAAACTCCTCAAAGGCAGAGATTATTTCATTTTGTTTTTCTATCCTCCTTGCCTATGTCAGAGTCTTGCACATAGTAGATGCTTAACAAATTTTTGTTGATTGATCAATTGTTTACTAGCTATATGATTCTGGGGAAATCTCTGAGTCTTTATTTCCTCCTCTGTGAAAAGGAGATTATAATAATACCCACATTACCCACCTGATAGGGTTGGTGTGAGATTCAAGTGAAAGAATGTCTGTAAAACACTTTGCAAATTTTAAAGCACTAAATAAATGTCAGCTATATTCATCAGTTGAAATTTTAGCCATTCCTCAAAATCCACTTCAAATATCAATTCCTCTATGAAATTCCTTCCACTGTTCACATGTATATAACAACCTTCCTTGAACTTTATATGGTGCTTTGTTTTGCACTTTTACATATATTATTATTAATTAGAGCTGTGTTGGTTTCTTATCCCTTCAGTACATTGTAAGGTTCTTAAGGGCAAGATGTTTGTCTTAGCTCTTTGTATATAGCACCATGCTCATCTGAGCACAGGTCTTAATGAAGATTTCATTGAATTAAATTGAACTGAAAGGTATCTGTAGGCTCTACTGGATATGGGTTCTCTTCCTATTGTGCTTTAAATGGGCTCTGTTTCTTTGAAGACCAGACCCCCTTAAGCCTCCTTGCTATAGCTGCTGAGGTTTTAGCAAGGCAAGTATAGATGATTACTTACACAGAGATTACCTGCACACCATCCCCTTTCAGGATATTATCACCTCTTACCTGGACTTTTGTAAGAGCTTTTAAAATCATCTCCCTTCTTCCAATTTCTCTCCTCTCCAATCCATCTTAAACACAGTCAGCAAAGTGATATTTCTATAACCTGGCTCTGACCATGTCACACCACCCTCACCCCCTTCAGTGGCTCTTAGTCAACTAAAATTAAATGCAAAATCCTTAATCTGGCATTTAAAGTCCTTCATGATTTGACTCCAGTTTACCTTTCCAGACTTACCTTATATCACTGCCTCTCACATACACTACATTTCAGTCCCAAATTAACTTAATTGCTATTCCTTAAACTTGAGATTCCCATCTCTGTGCCTTTGTACAAGCTGTCCTCTATGCCTAGGATGCTTTCTCTCTTTACCTCCCCCTCTTGGATTTCCTAGTTTCCTTGAAGGTTCATATTGGGTTCTATTGCCTATGAGAGTCCTTTCCTCCTGATCCTCCCAGTTGTTAGTACTTCCTCCCTACTATTACCTTATACTTACATTTTTATATTCTCTATTTTCTTATTTACATGTGTTTTATCTCCCACAAAGAAAGTAAACTTCTTGAGGGCAGTAACAACTTTTCTTTTTCTATGTATGTGCTTAGCACAGTGCCTTGTGTATTATAAACACTTAAAATACACTGCTTAGCTAATTACTCATTAAGTAATTTGAACAAGTCTATTAGTCTTAATTTCCCAAGTCTTCAATCACTAGTATTGTGGAGATCAAATGTGACAACATATGCAAATACATTGCAAGCCTTAAAGCACTGTAATAAAATCAGTTCTGTAATAAATTCATCTCTAATTTGCATTCTTTAAAGGCTAGTTCAAGTTCTGTCTCCTCCATGAAGTCTTCCCCAACCCAACTATAAAAAAATAACCTTCCCACTCAGACTTTAAGGAGCACTTTTCTTTATACTTCTTTAATGTACTTGTAATATAATATTATTATAGTTATATGTATTAGTATCACCCCTACTAGAATGTATGTTTCATGAGGGTAAGGGACTGTACCTTCTTTTTTTCAGCATGTAACACAACACAGTCTTTAGTAAGCCTTAATAAATTTGTTGAATAAAATTGAACTGAAAAGTGCTTGTGACCTTGCCTGGATTTGATTTCTGTCTTCATTGGGTTCTATCTTGAAACTGCCCATGTAAAGACCAGACCTTCTGGGGCCTATTTCCTACAACTGCTCAGGGTGTTTCCTGAGGCTTTTGGGAAGAAGGGACAGATGATTACCTGCACAAGGATATTGAACAAATTTGGATTGAGAATTGTTGGTGACAGGGTTTATGGCTGTGCAGGTGTAATTTATGGGAGCATCCTTAGGTCTTTGGAAGATGAAAAGACTAGATTTCCCATTGGATTCAACAGCTTGTTCTCCCAGAGGAGTCCACTGGTACTTCACAGCTTCTCCTCCCTCCTCCATGAAGCATGTCAGAGAGATGTTACAGGTGTTGTTCTCAGAGGCTACAAAAGTCAAAGTAATTTTTGGTGGTGCCAGTTGTCCTAAAGGATGGAACAATATAAGGCATAAGAATGAGTCTATAATGAAACCACCTTCTTTATAAACTTTCTTAATTTGTCCAATTTTGAACTCTCTATAAATCAATTTTGAGAAACATTCTTGCTAAAATAGCCTATATACAAGGCAAGCAGATAAAGACTTTGGAGTCATTTTCATCAAAGTGGTAATGAATGAGATTGCCAAGTGGGAAAAGTATAAGAGCAGAAGAGGACCAAGGATAGAACCTTGAACAATACTCACATTAAAAGGTGAAGAATAACAAAGTGAGTACTGAAAGGGACAGAAAAGGAGCATTTAGAGAAGTAAGAGGAAAACTGAGAAAACTAAAAAAGTTTTTTAAATCAAGGGAAAAGAAGGTACCTAGTAAGAGGAAATTTTAGAATCATAGAAACGACCAACAACATGATATGTTGCAGAGATTTCAAGGAGGAAGAAGACTGAAAAAAAACCCCATGGAATTTGGCATTTATAAGGTCCTTGAAAACTTTAGAGAAGACAGTTTCCATAGAGTCATTGGAGCTTGGGCTATTTTATAAAGGGTTGAGAAGGTGAGTAGTATGGAAGAAGAGCCATTGGGTATAGGCAGCATTTTTCAAGAGTTTAGCAGTGGATGGTAGGAGACTAAAGGGATGGTAGCTGTATAAATGATAAGGGTTAAGAAAAGGTTTTTTTTTTTTAAGATTAGAGAGATCTGAACATTTTTTGTAGGCAAATGGAAAAGAGCCCATAGTGAGAGATATAAGGGCAAAATCTGGATCTGCCTGAAGACAAAACTCATGTCCTATCTAGCCCTCTTTTTCCTCAGACTTTCTAGAGTAATCCTAAGGTCTCGTACTGATAGCCACTGAATAGTCCAGGAAATATTTGATTGAAAACTTTAGTATTCCTTTGAAGAATAACTTGGAAAATAACCCAGTGGAACAAGACAAAACTAAATCAGGAAATCCCATTCCTTTTCTAGTTTTGGTGCTATGCATGTGACCTTAGGCAAATCACCTCACTTCTCTGGGCCTCAGTTTCCTTGGATGAAAAATGAGGGTTTGTACTAGAGGACCTCTTTGGTCTCTCAGCCCAAATATTGTAAGAGTCCACTACTATAGTCTTACTGTAGACATGCAGGGTATAGTTCTTGGTGATGGTGAAGGTGGTAGAAGTTGTAGGATTCTGAAGATTTATGTCAGCTCTGTAGGATCCAGCATCCTCCATCTTCAGGGGGCTAATCTTCAAGTTATATGTATTGGGTGGGACATTCAGTCGATCCCTATAATTTTGATGGGTTGTAATGATCTTGACAGATTGTCCTTCTGGTTGCACAAGAGCAACAGATGTACGGGAGGCCCAGTTAATGTTCTCAAGTTTATATCCATTTGGTATTTCTGTGGGTAGAATAGCTGACTCTCCCAGAATCCCTGTCACCATTACTGGGGCATCATTCTCTCTGGAAGCTCTTGGCTCTGTAGAAGCAAAAGGGAAACTGTAATAGCTATTAAACTTGATTTCTATTCCATAACATTTCCTTAAGCCATTTGAGATAAATCCTATAGCTGCCATTATAAAAGTAGGTTGGGGGGGGCAGCTAGGTGGCACAGAGGATAGAGCACTGGCTCTGAAGTCAGGAGGACCTGATTTCTAATCTGACCTCAGACCAGACACTTGACACTTACTAGCTGTGTGACCCTGAGCAAGTCACTAAAACCCAATTGCCTCAAAAAAAGTAGATGGAGAGAATGGGAAGTTAATAAGTTCTCAATAATTCTAGTTCTTAAAATTGAGTTGTGATGACTACTACTCTGTGGGGAACATGTACTGGCAATTTGTTTGGATATAGGTTTTCTTACATGAACTCTGATATTTTATCATTCTTCTTAATCCCACCTCGTTTAATTCTTTGAGGAGGCACCATATTATGGTATCTCCCTCTAGTCCCCTCTCCTCTAGAAATTTATGGGTGCAAGAGAAGGCTGTTGATTTTCTCTATGAAAATTTCCATTATATTAGTGCACCAAATAAATATATTGCATAATCAAGGATCTGCACATTTGTTGATGTGGAAATTCCTTCCACCAACTCAGACATAGGCCATCTGTGAGAAAGTAGATAAATCTCAGAGGTTAAGCAGCTTGTCCAGTGTCCTATAGGTAGCAAGGATCAGAGGTGAGTCCTGAATACAGGTCTTCCTGATTCCATTTCCAGCTTTTTATATTTGACATGCACAACAGCAACAGGCATGTGGAAGTCCAGGCAGTTTTCTCAATAATCATTCCAGCTAGCATCTCCAAGGATAGAATGACTGACTCTCTCAGAGTCCCTATCACCATCAGTAGGGCTGGGTTCTCTCTAGAAGTTCCTGGTGGAACTGGTGGCAGATGGAAATGAGAGACTGAAACAGTAGCCAAGTTCAACCCTTGGGCCCCTGACATTCCCTAAGCTTCAGAGTTTTATGATTTCAGATTCCATTCCAGAAATGTAATAGAATACCTTATATAGAGGAGACCTAAATTAGGTGATTCAGGTTCAGGATTCAAATGGAATGAAACTGGAAGGCCATTTAATAATCAAAAATAAGTTCACTTATACATAACATAGGAAGTGTATTCTGCAAGGATAAAGTACTGATTCAATCAGACAAAATTTTCTGCTCTTATTTTTGTACTTACACCAACAGGAATATCTGTCAATGACCTGAGCATTCATCCCCTGGAAGGTACTGAGTTCCCCATCACTGGAGATCTTCAAGTGAATGCTGAATGACAAGCTGCTAGAGAAGTTACAAGTTTCCTATTGAGTATAGTTTGAACTATATGTGCTCTATGGCTCCTTCGAGGATTCCAAGATTCTCTTTAGGTCCACCTTATTCAATTTCTTGAGGACAAATTATTATGGAAACTTCCTCTGTCCTCTTTCCCCAAGCATTACTTCAGGGTATGAAATTTACATTATTTTGATGGATCATGAGTATATTCTACATGGAAATCTGTTTTAATATATCAAGAATCTGTATTCTTTGGCTTGAGAAATCCCTCCACTAACTCATACATAAGCCATCTTTAGCTTATAATAGGTAAGATTCTTAGAGAGTTTCCTGAAACCTGGAGTGTTAAGGCAATTTGCCTGTGGACACATAGTTAATGAAAGCCACAGCAAGATTTTTTTTTTTAGTGGGAAGAGGCAATCTGGGTAAAGTGATTCGCCCAGGGTTACACAACTAGTAAGTGTGTAAGGCTGAATTTGAACTCAGGTCCTCCTGCCTCCAGGGCCAGTGCTCTATCCATTGTGCCACCCAATTGCCCCTTGGAGGAAGGAGCTGAACTTGGGTCTATCTGATTTCAAGTCCAGCCCTCTATTCATGATACCTTATTAACACATTAGGGTTTATTATTCACATTACAGAAGAATTCATAATAGTATTCTTTAAATGATTTACTCTCTAGTTTTGTTCTCCCAAGATAAGCAAAGTTGCGCAGTGGATGCAGAGATGGCCTCAGAGTTAGGATAACTTGGGTTTGACTCTGACATGAACTGTCTGTGTCACTGAACCTAAGTCACTTAACCTCTCAGGACCCCTAAGCCACTCTCTAAGACTATACTGTGTAGAACAGTAGATCTTCTTTGCCTACACTAATGAAATCACAGAACCCAAAATGCAATTATACAATTAGATTTACACATGACTCCATTGTATAAAGTGAATTTCAACTATATCCCTGTTTCATCAGGCTACAGATTGTGAGACATCTGGATTCTGAGACACAGGAAGAGATTTCTCTACTTCAATTTTGTCATCTGTGTTCAAATAGAATTTTGCCAAAGTCCTTGCATGAAGTATTTTTGGGGAAGGGGGAACAAAGTTTATAAGGGCAAGAGGAATCCAAGGAAATGCTTTTAGAAACTGATTATTTCCAGTCAAGACTCATTTGTAGGAAGAGGAAGGATGATTATGCCACTGGAGTTGGTTATAGGGGCAATATTTTGTTTTTTGCACCTCCGCTCTCCTCTTTTCCATGTCTTTTCTCCTTTGGAGGAGTCTTTTCTCTCAACCTAAACCCAGAGGTCTTACATTCTCATACTTTGTCATATTCTTTCCCCTCTCTGCTATGTTAAACCTTACTTTCCTGAAATTTCATTTCCACTAAAGTGTAATTTGCACAATTGATTTTGTGAACCCAAATATAGGGTACTGCATTTATTCCTACTAAATTTCACCTTTTTTGAGTCGACTCATCATTCTAGTCTACTCTGACCTTTTGAATATGGATTCTGCTATCCATTGTCCCTGTCATATTTGTACCATTCACAAGTTTGATAAGCGTGCTACTTATGGATTCAGACAAGTCACTGAAAAAATATTGCTCAGCACAGGGCCTGAGGTAGACAACTGTGACATGGTAATAGAAACTTTTCTTCATGTTGACATCAATTCATTTAATCACTACTTCTTGGGCTCAATCATTCAAATAGGACCAAATCCTAGAAAATTATTCTAGGATCTAGCTAGTTACATTTCTTCATCCAGTCAGCTAAATATTATTGAACAGGTTGTCACTCTTAATGTTTAATTGTTGGTCAGTGACAAGTAGATATCCCATAAGAGCAACTGGATTGCATCCAAAGTGATGTTCTCAGTGAAAACCTGTTTCAAAAGCATCTCTCACAGACTCCAAGTAGTGTTATTATAGCTTTAAGAGCAACAGGTGAATGGTTAGATTCATATAGAATGGTGAAAAGTGTTAAGACTGGAAAATTGAAGTTCACTTCAGAAATTAGCTATGGAGTAAGGGCAATGGGTTTATTTTATCTGTTGGCCATGGGAATTTATGAAAAGTAATTTGAGAAAATGGGTTAATGTTAAATGCCTTTTCCTATGGAGTCAGAAAAAAAGATATCTGTTTTTTCTGTAATCCTTGAGGATCTGTGAAAAGTCTATGGAGCCTATGGAGACAGAATGAATCCATTGAGAAAATGGCTGAATGTGCAATGCCTCTCTCTATGAAGGGAGGGAGGGGGGAATAGTTTGTCTGTGAGCCATAAGTGTCTGTAAAAATCTGTGGAGAACACACAGGAAGGTAGTGAGGAAAAACTTCTTCCTTGCTGGAACTATTTGAAATGTCTTGTTATAAAGACAATCTTATGAAGAACTTTAGAGAATCTCAAAAAAGTTTTCTACAGTTCCTGAAGTGAAGACAAAGAGAAAAGTTTAATTCTGTGGAGAAATAGGAATAATATGTTTAATAGACTTTCATTGTTTTCTGAAGTGAGTTGAATGATTTGAGACTGAATTTTCAAACAAGTGGAGTTAGTTACTGAAGCTTTGAGGTGACTTGGACTGTGACATTGGTCATAACCAAAATATTGTGAATTACTATGTCTTTATCTTTGTTATTAATTCAGTGTATTAAATTATCTATATAGTAATTTTAATAATTATTTATAAACAGAGTTAAATAAGAGTAAATAAGCTATGTGTTTCATTAAATAATTAAAATTTAATGAATTGGGGTGGGATCTCTTTCTAATCACTTACACAATAAGAAAGAAGTAAGTTCATGAACGAGAAATTAATTATCTAAACAGCCCCCTAAATCACTACAGAGCTTAGAAGGATAAAATTAAATATATAGTAATAGTGAGTAAAGTGGCCAGCTGGAGGTAACCGATCTAAAGTGTGTGTGGTCAGGCCTCAGAACTCATAATATGGATGGAGTAGATGTGTAGTTTCTTTCCATCCTGTTACAGGTTGGGGCTCATTCATGATTTTTGAGTTTTTTCCCATTTCCTATAAGTAGTTTCTTAAATAATTTAAATCTAAAGTGTTTGACAAAGAGAAGTTTTGACTAAATGCGAGGCTAACTCATTGATTCTTTCTCATTAGAGAGGTGAATGAAGGAGCTTGCAGAATAGGCTTCATAGTATGTTCAGAGGCAACAAGAAACATTTCATAGGATACATGATCTTCTCACCTAATAGTGCTGGTGATGAGCATTAGCTAATAGATCAACAGAAGACAACTGTAGTTTATGCATTAATATCTTTCTCAGAGGTTAAAGTCAAGAAACTCTCAAGTTTCTTCATTTGTAAAATAAGGAGAACTAGATTAGCTGACCTCTGAGGTCTTGTATATGAAATATGACATGACTTACAAGAAGCCTGAAAATTTTCTCCCTCTCTGAGTTACATATACACATATATGTATACATATATGTACATACATATGTACATATACACACATACATACATACATACATATATATATATATTAAACCAAGATGTGGCCACTGTGCATGCAACATGTAGCTTCTTGGAGCCACAGATGAGAACTGGGTGAAAGGTGGACACCAAAGGTAGATGAGCAGCCATGAAAAGGGCTCAGCAAGCCATCACACCAGAGATGCTAGTCCTCCCTGAACTCCCTATATAGCCAGTCTGAGCTAAACCAGGTTGAGGGTGACTGACAGGCCTCAAAAGTCAGTGAGTTAGGCTCATGTTTACCCCAAGCATGTGAAGACTTCCCCTGGTGTAATGGGTGGATGAGAACAATTTATCACAATGACCATGAAGGTGACTGAAGCTGGTGTAGTGGAGTGCTTAGAGGTTGGTCAGATATTCAAGATGCCAAGGTCATCTACCAACCTGTGCCTTATCCAATCATCCCGAGGTTTTTTTTTTGCCACTAGACTTCTATGACTCCAAGAGAGAGGGAGGCTGATGACTTTGAGCAAACTCTGCCTCACTTCAATCCAATTCACACACAAGTGAAGACACCAAAGCATGTTATCGTTGGTCCTCTTTGAAAATAAGATTAAATAACAACAATATTTTCATGTATATCAAATGCCAATTTAGCGTAAAAGAAAGGGCATAGAGTTGTAGTCAGACAGCTTGGGTTCCAATTCTTTCACTTACTGACTGGGTGGTTTTGGTCAAGTCATTTCACCTCAGTTTCCTCATTTGCATAATAGGGATAATAATTCTTGCATTGCCTATTTTTCCCCTGGTTGTTTGTAAACTATAAGGAACCTGATACATGTGAGCTATGATTATTTTTGGGAGCCACTTAGTACAGAATTTAAGTACTAAGAAATACCATGAGTCAAGGCTATTTGTTGTTCACACAGGGCCACATTCTGGTTCCCTTAAGGATCCTTCAGTATCCAGAACACTGAGAGCAAAATTATAGCTCTATAACACTGCAAGTCATTGTAGCTAGTGTCTAGCTAACATAGGTTCTAGATTATGAGAACAGGAAGGGACCTAAAAAGATCACCTTTTACAGCTGTCTTTTTTTTTTTTTCAGATGAGAAAAGTGTGGTCAAGACATGGGATATGAACAGTTCAAAGTCATGGAGCTGCTAGTCAATAGCACAGCCTGGATTGAAATCCTTTGACTCTAAATTCAGTGAACCTTCCATTTTACCCTCTACTTCTTTTCTGAAGATATTGCTATTATCTCACTGTAGCCTTTTTTGCCAGGAGTACTGCAGCTTAATCAAGAGCCAAGTGCTTCAAGATTTCCCTTCCTTTACTCTGCTCCCCAATCCAGGTTGCATTATATTTCTCAGGACTGTGGGGAAGGGTACAGGGAACAACAACAAGGGATTTGGGCATTGTCCACTCACCACTTTGATCTGAATGGGAAAACCAGCTCTTGAAATGCATGCAGTCTGAAATCTTAAGGGCCTGAGGTACTTCAGCCTATTACCTCCCTTCTTTTCAGGAACACTCCTTTTCTTTTATTTAAAATGTATTATTTATTTATTTATAACATTCATTTAAAATTTTTTTGTGAGGTCTGAATTCTCTCCCTTTCTCTTTTCCCTTCCACACCCATTGAGAAGGCAAACAATATGATATCAATTATGCAATATGCAGAATATTTCCATATTAGCTATGTTGCAAAATAAATAAGGCAAGAAAAAAATAAAGTGAAAAAATATACTTCAATTTGAATTCAGAGTTCATCAGTTCTCTCTCTGGAGGTGGATAGCATGTTTCATTGTGAGTCCTTTAGAATTGCATTGGAGCACTGCATTGATTAGAGTAGCCAAGTCTTTTCACAGTTCATCATTGTTACAATATTTTTACAACTATGTGCAATGATTTCCTGGTTTTACTCACTTCATTCTGTATCAATTCATAGACGTCTTCCCAGGTTTTTCTGAAACAATCTTATTGTCATTTCTTATAGGACAATAATATTCCATCATAATCACATATATCACAACTTGTTCAGCCATTCCCCAACGGATGGGCATTCCCTCATCTTCTAATTCATTACTACCACAAAAGGAGCTGCTATAAATATTTTTGTACATATAGGCCCTTTTCTTTTTTCTTTGATTTCTTTGGGATACAGACTTAGTAGTGGTATTGCTGGGTCAAGGGATATGTATAGTTTTACTGCCCCTTGAGCATAGTTCCAAATTGTTCTCCAGAAAGGCTGCACCAGTTCACAACTCCACTAAGATTGTGTTAGTGGTTGGAACACTCCTTTTCAAGGTCCAGTAGAATGAAAATTCTTTGAGATTAGGAATGATTTCATTTTTGTCTCTTGTTCAGCTCCTGGTGCACAGCCTACTATTAAGTGCCTACACATAATAAATATTTGTTGACTGACTATATCTTCAGCACTTAGCACAGAACCTTATACACAGTAGCTACTTAATTTATATTTATTGAAAGGAATTTAATTGAATTAGAATGTGATTCATCCCTTTACCACAATATATACACAGCTTTTGTGCATCAGGAGATCTTGAACAGTTGGGCTCAACAGTAGTCAGACAAACAGACCACTGTTACTCTGGGCCATGCCAAAGCTAGGGCTGTATAGTGATTCAGTCTCAGGAGTGAAAAATGCAAAGACCTTAATAAATTAAAATAATATAACTTCTAAAGTTAAAAGGATATAAAAATTTACTCCCCTCTGTCTCTATAGTTACCAAAACAAGTCACTAGGTCAGGAACTCAGTAAGCATTAATAAATGCTTATTAACTAATTGACAGACTGAGTATTCTCCATAGGCAGTAGGAGCCTAGGTATAATCCCTGACTTAATTCCTTCCCAGGCTTGGCCTACTAGACTTCAATTGGCAAAAAAGCAAATGGCTTCCTCACATCGTTAAAGGACCAGCTCAGTCTACGTTTTGCCAGAACCAAAACCCAGTATATTGGGTGCTGAGCATTGATCCAAAGAAGGGGAAGTAAACAGCAAGGGGATGGTAGCAAGGGTGAGAGGAGGAGAAAGAGATTCCAGGATTGTAAACATAACTTCCTTCAAGATCTATGACAGCCCCATTCATTACTGGAACAAAAGAAATATAGTCCTTCACACATCTATGTGGCTAATAATTCTGGCTATTTTCTTGAAAACACTGAGAGGATGTAGGACATAAATGTATGTGTGTTTGCATAGTGCTTTCCACTTAAGCATTTAATAAATGCTTATTAGTTAATCATTCTATAAAATGGAGATAATAACATGTGTTCTGCATACCCTTCAGGATTGTTGTTAAGGATCAGAACCCTAGCCAAGGGATATCTCCTAGAATTCTAACACCATACAATGTTAAAGCTGAAAGGGATACTACAACCTAATTGACTCATTTCACAAATGAGGAGCTTGAGGCCAAAAAAGAGAAGGGAATATGCATATATATAGTGTCAACTATGTGCCAGGCGCTGTGTTAAGGGATTTTTTATAAATATTATCTTATTTGATCCTCACAACAATGCTGTATAGGTGCTATTATTATCTCCATTTAAAAGTTAAGGAAACTGAAGTAGATAAATGACATACCCAGGGTCAAACAGCTAGCCAGTGTCTGAGGCTGGATTTGAACCCAGGTCTTTCTGCCAAGCCCAACTTTTCCAGTTGCATCACCAGTTGCCAAGAGATGAAGATAGTTTTGAATGCAAATGGATAAAAAAAGACCCCTTCAAAGTAGGAAAAGGCACAAGACTGTTTGCATTTTTTCCTCATAACTCACATTGGTGGCCAGCTCAGTCCCTTAATATTTCAGGAGGAAGGAAAACCATAATGGTAAGCATTTCAGTTAAAAAGCAAATTCTAAAAGGAAACTGTCAGCCCAGCTCGAAACCACTAGAGACTGCATGGGGCTCAGTTTCTGCCTCTGTATGGCAGCCTATCACATTTAGAAGCCAGAGAGGGGACTAATAACAGCTAAAACTTACCTGTGAACAGGTAGAAGAGCAAGAACCAGAGGTAGTATTTGGTCATGTTCTTTTCAGGTCCCAGTCCTCTGACAGGAAGCAATGAAAGAGCCAATTGGAGGCAGCTCCTTTATTTTTCTTCCCCCCCCCTTTTTTTAAAGTAATATGACGCATTATAGAAATGAAACTTAAGCAATAGCTACATGTGCTGAAGAACTTTTGTAAAAGTCACAGAGGTGATGGTAATGTAAGATACAGAGTAAGAGGCCTTGGAAGTTCTCTAAATATTATTTGCAGGTGATATTATGCTAATTTCATCAAGTCTTATTGAAAGGATCCACCAATCACCTCCTGAAAGAGATCCCAAAATGAAATATGTATCAAAGTTATCTACATCTATGTTTTATCCTTTTACTAGGTTGTAAGTTTTATAAGGTCAGGAACCATGTCTTAGTTAAACTTTGTATTTCTCCCAGAGGCTACTATAGAGCTCTACACACAATAGGTCCATAAAATGTTTTTTGATTGACAAAAAGAAAGGTTCCTAAGCTGATTCACAGAAGTCTGTTCAATTCTTAATAAAGTTGAACTAATTGTTCTCATTGTATGAATATCACTTTAAAACCCAATCCCCAGTTGTAACAACGTTTCTATGGAAAAATACATTCAGAGTTCCAGTTTAGGGTGCCAGGAACACAGCTACTTTGGGGGCCAACTCCATGCCCACTTCTCCCACTTCTTGTTTAGTTGGAGTGAGCACTTCTCTAGATCCAAGGCACAACTGTGTGGCCACTGGTAGTGACTTCCATGACTAAAGGAAAATCTCTACTGAGGGCCTGGGGTTGTTGAATGGGGAAGATAGAAGACTGGAGTGCAAGAGCTTGAGGGATAAATATTTCTTTGCAGCCAAGGCTTCCCAACTAATGTAAATCCTCGGTGAGATCTCTGGGAACTCCCTTTGGGCCTAAGAGAATGACCTATCTGCTTCCCTTCCCAGTGACACGATCTGTGGTTTTAAACTAGGGATTTTTTCCTGCCTTTGGCTTACTATAAAACAGAACAGTCCTGCACACAACCCTTTTCAGGTTTGGTCAATTGCCATTTACAGTGATCTTTGAGCCTTCTAGACTAAACATCCCCAAAGTGGAAGTTTTATCTTAGTGTAGTGTAGGAAGGATATTGATGAACTGAAGTGTTTAGAGACAAGAGCCACCAGGATAGTGAGAAGACTAGTGGCCACGATGCAGAAGGATATAAGAGGCCTATGGGGCAAGAAGTTTTTCAAACAAAAGTCAAACAAGGTCCCACAGTCCAGGCTTAGCAGGTCCATGGCACAACAGGCCAGCTGTGAGGCCTCCAGCCCCAGTACAGAAGGCAAACTATCAGCCCCAGAGGCCCTGACCCAGAATGCCAGTGACCAGGCCCCTGGTCTCCAGAGCAAGAAGCTTAAGACAGTGCCCCCTGTGCCATAAGAGCAGAGCTCAGCTTTAAAAGTCACAAAATAGACTGGAAAATGAGCAAAAAACAAAAAGAGCCCTCTCCATAGAAAGCTACTATGGCAACAGGGAAGATCAAAACACAAACTCAGAAGAAGACAACAATGTCAAAACACCTGCATATAAAGCCTCAAAGAGGAATATGAATTGGCATCAAGCCCCAAAAGTCCTCTTGGAAAAACTCAAAAAGGATTTTAAAAATTAAATAAAAGAGGTGGAAGAAAAATTGGGAAAAGAAATCAGAGTGATTCAAGAAAATTATGAAAAAGTCAATAGCTTGGAAAAAGAAAACAACTCCCTAAAAAGTGGAATTGGCCAAATGAAAAAGGAGGTATAAAAATCCACTGAAGAAAACAACTCCTTAAAAATTAGAATTGGGGGGAAGCTAGGTGGTGCAGTAGATAGAGCACCGGCCCTGAAGTCAGGAAGACCTGAGTTCAAATCTGGCCTCCGACCAAACACTTGACACTTACTAGCTGTGTGACCTTGAGCAAGTCACTTAACCCCAATTGCCTAAAAAAAAAAAAGTAGAATTGGTCAAGTAGAAAAAGAAGTACAAAAGCTAACTGAAGAAAATAATTGCCTAAAAATTAGAATTGAACAAGTGGAAGCTAATGACTCAATAAGACATCAAAGATCAATCAAACAAAATCAAAAGACTGAAAAAATAGAAGAAAATGTAAAATATCTCATTGGAAAAACAACTGACCTGGAAAATAGATCCAGGAGAGATAATTCAAGAATTACTGGACTACCCTAAAGCCATGATAAAAAAAAAGAGGGCCTGTACAACATTTTTCAAGAAATTATCAAGGAAAACTGCCCTGATATCCTAGAACTCAAGGGTAAAATAGTAATTGAAAGGATCCACTGATCACCTAGTGAAAGAGATCCCAAAACGAAAACTCTAAGGAATATTATAGATAAATTCCAAAACTCTCAAGTCAAGGAGAAAATACTGTGAGCAGTCAGAAAGAAACAATTCAAATATCAAGGAGCCACTGTCAGGATCACACAGGGCTTAGCAGCCTATATATTAAAGGATTTCAGGGCTTGGGCTATGATATTGTAGAAGGAAAAGGAGCTTAGATTATTACCAAGAATCAACTACCCAGCAAAATTGAATTTTCAAATTTCAAAGTTGAAATTTGAGGGGGCAGATGGATCCAAGACTTTTCTGTTATGTCAGGAATATGATGAGAGTCTATCACCTCTTTACCTTGTTTTCCAATGTTTCCAGTGCCTTTTAGAAGTTTCTCAAAGCTTATAGACAATTTGTTTAGACAAATCAGCTACAAATAGATGTGATGGAAACTGAAAGGACAAATGAAACAGAGTGAATATATTTATGCTCAGCATCAAAAAAGCTTGACAAGAGGAGCTGATTGGGTGCATCTTATCTGTAACCTGAGAGAGTAAAGAGATGACTGGCATGTAGTTGCTCTAACTCAGCAAAAAGTAAGGAATGGTGAATCTGCTGTTGGGAAAGGGGACTCTAGAATTCTTTTAAAATTTTATTTTATTTTTTTTTTTGTTCTTATTCTGAATTTAAGAAATAAAACAAGTATTTCCATAACAAAGTAAAATAGGAAAAAAAAACAGGATTGTACATGAAACTACAAATCTATTATGTACAACTTGCTTTTCTTTTTAAGTATATAATAAAATTATCATGTAACTTTCTTTTTCTTCCCCCTCCTTCCCACAAACCCTGTTGTAGAGAAGCCTATATCGTTAGACATAAATATGTATATATATGCATATATGTATGTATGTATAAATGTATGTATATATACATGTGTATGTATATCCATGCTATATATACTTCTATTTATCAGTTCTTTATCTGAATGAGATAGCATCTTCCTTCATAGGTCCTTTGTAGTTAATTTAGTTATAATATATATATAATTATAATAGTCAAAATGACTCGGCCACTCAAGGTGCTCTTTTTTTTCTTTTTTTAAAATTTTATTTCTTTATTTGTTTTTAGTTTTCAACATTCACTTCTATAAGATTTTGAGTTCTAACTTTTCTCCCCCTTCCTCTGGTCCCCCCTCCCTGAGATGGCATGCAATCTGATATAAGCTATACATGTATTAAACATATTTCCATATTAGTCATGTTGTAAAGAAGAATTAGAACCCCCCCCCAAAAAAAAACCATGAGAAAGAAGAAACACAAAAAAAAGAGAGAAAATAGTATGGTTTGATCTGCATTCAGACTCCATAGTTCTTTCTCTGGATGTGGATAGAATTTTCTATCACGAGTCTTTTGAAATTGTTTTAGATGCTTGTATTGCTGAGAAAAGTTAAGCCTATCAAAGCTGGTCATCGCACAATGTTGTTGTTACTATGTACAATGTTCTCCTGGTTCTGATTACTTTACTTAGCATAAGTTCATATAAGTCTTTCCAGGTTTTTCTGAAGTCCACCTGTTCATCATTTCTTATGGAATAATAGTATTCCATTGCATTCATATACCACAACTTGTTCAACCATTTCCCAATTGATGGACATTCCCTCAATTTCAAATTCTTGGCCACTGCAAAAAGAGCTATCATAAATATTTTTGTACATGCGGGTCCTTTTTCCATTTTTATGATCTCTTTGGGATACAAACATAGAAGTTTATTGCTGGATCAAAGGGCATGCACATTTTCATAGCCTTTTTGGGCATAGTTCCAAATTGCTCTCCAGAATGGTTGGATCAGTTCATAACTCCACCAACAACATTAGTGTTTCAAATTTTCCCACATCTTCTCCAACGTTTATCATTTGCCTGTTTTGTCAGGTTAGCAAATCTGATAGGTGTGATGTGGTGCCTCAGAGTTGTTTTAATTTGCATTTCTCTAATCAATAGTGATTTAGAGCATTTTTTTCATATGACCATAGATAGCTTTGATTTCTTTGTCTGAAAACTACCTGTTCATATCCTTTGACCATTCATCAATGGGGAAATGACTTTTATTCTTGTAAATTTGACTCAGTTCTCTATATATTTAAGAAATGAGGCCTTTATTAGAAACACTGACTGTAAAAACTATTTTCCAGCTTTCTGCTTACCTTCTAATCTTGGTTGCATTGGCTTTGTGCAAAACCTTTTTAATTTAATGTAATCAAAATTATCTATTTTGCATTTCATAATGTTCTCTATCTCTTGTTTGGTCATAAATTCTTCACTTCTCCATAGATCTGACAGGTAAACCATTCCTTGCTCTTCTAATTTGCTTGTAGTCTCACTCTTTATGTCTAAATCATGTACCCATTTTGACCTTATCTTGGCATATGGTATATGATGTTGGTCTGTCTAGTTTCTGCCATACTATTTTCCAGTTTTCCCAAGAGTTTTTGTTAAATAATGAGTTCTTATCCAAGAAGCTGGAACCCTTGGGCTTATCAAACTGTAGATTACTACAGTGATTGACTATTGTGTTTTGTGAATCTAACCTATTCCACTGATCCACCACTCTTTTTTTTTTAGCCAGTACCAAGTAGTTTTGATGACTGCTGCCTTATAATATAGTTTTAGATCTAGTAAGGCTAGGTCTCCTTCCCTTGCATTTCTTTTAATTATTTCCCTTGATATTCTAGAACTTTTGTTCTTACAGATGAATTTTGTTATTAT